GGGATTTAACCATTTCCTCACCAAATGAAACAAAAGAGCAAAGTTATAACGAGGCCTTTTCTTGTTGTGTTCACCTGGCGCCCCCTGGAGGCTGCTGTGATGCTGCAGGACACAGAGGAGAGACACTTTTGGCTCTTCCTCTCCTCAAACTGCCCGGACACAGATCTGCTGACCCTCTCTGACCAGTCCTCCTGTTAAACAGCACTGAGACCTTTGACTGAGACACAGAGGACACTGAGACGCACAGTGCGCTCTCTCTCTCTCTCTCTCTCACTATGTTTTTGGTCATGTGAAGAGCAGTCTAACCTGTCACATGCACTTCACAGTTATATAACTCCACACTCCCATTCTGTGTCCTGTGTTTCACCTCAGTCACTCACTGTCAGTGTTTGATTTCTGCTTTTCCTGAATTGTCACACTTTTCAAACTGAGCATGCCCAGATACTTCAGAGCAAGAGCTGAAGTGTAACTGCAGTTTGGACAAAACTTATTTTTGAAATTTGTTTGATTAACTTGATTATTTATTTAATTAACTGATAAAAAAAAATCTTCTCTAAAGTTTGTGAGAATTATTTAAACTGTATTAATAAATGTTAGAAAAAAGAGCAGAGATGAGTAAAAAGGATTGTTTTTGTTTCTGTTTCTAAGAATAAACTATGAGAAACTGTCAAATGTTGATATGAACACATTTAACGTCATTATTGTGTTCATGTTTACACTGAGGTTATGGGATGGAGTCTTGGCAAGAGTTAAAAAAAAGTTAAATTAAAAAGGTGCCAAATTGACATGGGTGTAAAATTGAGCAATGGCACTCTGCCCTCTCTGCTCTCTCTCTTCTCTGTCTCTCTTTTCTTCTCTGTCTCTCTTTCTCTCTTCTCTGTCTTTATTCTTCTCTCTCCTCTCTCTCTTATTCTTCCTTTTTCTCTCTCTCTCTCTCTCTTCTCTCTCTTTTTCCCTGTCTCTCTCTTCTCTGTCTCTCTTCTCTCTCTTCTGCTCACTCTCTCTTCTCTTCTCTCTCTCTCTCTCTCTCTCTCTCTCTCTCTCTCTCTCTCTCTCTCTCTCTCTTCTCTCTCTCTTCTCTTTCTTCTCTCTCTCTCTCTCTCTCTCTCTCTCTCTCTTCTCTCTCTCTTTTCTTCCTTCTCACTGTTCTCCCTCTCTTCTTCTCTTGCTCTTTTGTCTTTCTCTCTCTCCTCTTTTCTCTCTCTTCTTCTCTCTCTTTCTCTTCTCTCTCTTCTTCTCCGTCCTCATCCCTGACGTGCACCTGCTCCTGACAGGACAGTGCTTTGGTTGGAGTAATGCGGCGCAGCAGCATTCCTATGCAGCGGTTTGGAGTTTGAACCCTCATAACCGTGACAACAATGGAAAATTTTCACCACTGGACTCACTGCACACACCCACTAACAAAGCAACTCTGTCAAAACACTGGACATGAAACTGTAATCCAGCACGCTAATTAAGCATTCACTACTACAGTCCCTGACAAAAGTCTTGTCGCTTATCCATTTTGTAGAAACAAAAGCTTATAACTTGACTTTAAATTAATCAATTGGTTTTAGAAATGTCTCATATGAAAGCTAAAACCCTCCCAAATTATGCTCAATATACTAAAATAAATTTGCTTCACTGAAAAAAGATTGATCATTTAATGAACACAGAAAGGTCAGATTTTGGCAAGACAAAAGTTTTGTCGCCTACAGAAAATTGAACAAATAATTTACTTCAAATACAAAAATATGTTGCATAACGTCAGTGAATGAAGTAGTGGTGCTGTGAGATCCATATTTAATATCTTGTATGACTTCCATGAGCTTCAAAGGACTACATCCATGCGGTTCCACAATGATTCATACAATTTGTTGATGAAGTCATCAGGAATAGCAAAGAAAGCGTCTTACATGCCTCCCAGAGTTCATCAAGATTCTTTGGTTTTTGCCTTCCATGCTTCCTCTTTCATTCTACCCCAGACATGCTCAATGATGTTCATGTCTGGTGACTGGGCTGGCCAGTCCTGGAGCACCTTGATCTTCTTCGCCTTGAGAAACTTTGATGTAGAGATAGAAGTATGTGATGGAGCACCATCCTGCTGCAAAATTTGACCCCTTTTATGGTTGGGAATGTAAGAGGAGCTAATACTTCTTGATATTTTAGGTTATTGATATTTGCCTTCCACCCTGCAAATGTCTCGCACACCCCATACTGGATGGAACCCCAGACCAGGATTTTTCCGCCACCAAACTTAACTGTTTTCTGGGTGAATCTTGGATCCATGCGGGCTCCAGTAGGTCTCCTGCAATATTTGCGGTGGCTGTGATGTAATTCAACCGAGGATTCATCTGAGAAATCCACCTTCTGCCACTTTTCCAGTGTCCATCCTTTTAGCAGGCTGTGGGCCTTGGCAAATGCCACACAGTTTTTTAATTGCCTTTTGTTTAGTGCTGGTTTCTGTGCACTGATTCGACCATGGAGGCCATTTCGAGACAGAATTCTACAAACTGTTGTGGTTGACACAGGGACTTGAGGTGACCAGGCCTGGTGGAGTCTGCTGCAGTGGAAAAGGGGCTGGCCTTGGATTTTCGAATCAACAAAACGGTCCTCCCGAGCAGTTGTCTTGCGGGGTCTGCCGGACCTGGGCTTGTCAAAAACATCTCCAGTCATTTCAGATCTTTTTCTTATTCTTTGTACTTGACGCTGAGACACATTGAAGGTGTGCTCACCAATCTCTGTCAGTTCAGACAAGATTGTCATCACAATTCTGTTGATTTACAAGGCAATGACCTTGACTCTGGTCAAACTTTCTTTTCACATCACAAGATTTCAGAAGCAATAATGTGGCCCTCAGAGAAAAAAGTTTGGTGACCCCTGTTTAAGACAATTAAATGTAGCCTATTTGTACTTGTGAAATTATTTGTTTCTCCCGTATCCATGGAGATTGTGTAAGAGGCTTGCTGTGGTCATTGGAGATGCTACAGGCTTTTTGCATCATATGTGGCAGCAAATGTGGTGGATCTTCCAGAGGAAATACTTTGACCTTCCAGAGGAAGTACTTTGAAGGAATGACCAGAATAGGAACGAGGCCTTTCCTGTTGTGTTCACCTGGTGCCCCATGGAGGCTGCTGTGAAGCTGCAGGATACAGAGGAGAGACACTTTTGGCTCTTCCTCTCCTCAAACTGCCCGGACACAGATCTGTTGACCCTCCCTGACCAGTCCTCCTGTTGAACTGCACTGAGACCTTTGACTGAGACACAAAGGACACCAAGAAGCACAGTGGAAATGTGATTGCAGCAAAACTTGACTTTCCCCCAGGATCAGAAAAATCTCTCTGTCTTCCTCTCTAGTTTGTCTGAAGTATATGAACTGATATTTTTAAAGATACACTGGCATAAGCAGCACTGGTGGTCAAAACAGGTCTGCTGTGTACTGTCTGCAGCTACTGACAGTAGGGTACATAAATTCAAATAAACATAGACAAAACAAAAGAACAAAATCAACACAACTACACACACTCACTCACACTTGACTGTTAGACACGTAGTAAATCAAATTTGAACAAAAGCTAAGACAGAGTTCAAATATGGTCACAAAACATAACAAAATTTACAACAAAATGATCAAAAACAATGACACAGGTTATGCAAATATTGAACCAGAGCATTTTTAAATGAAGGGACAGAAGTCAAAGCGTGAACCGATGAGGGAAGATTGTTCCAATCAAAAGGAGCTTTATATTTAAATGAGTGTTTTCCTATTTGTTTTTAGACTCTTGGGACAACAAAAAATGTCTGATCAGTGTGACGTAATCTGTAAGAGGATCTGAATGGAATTCAATACTGTTTAAGATTTTCAGGATAACTGATGATGAATGCATTTAAAAATAAGTGATGGAGAAAGCATAACAGGTTATTGTATCAGTCTAAACAAGGATGGACCAGTAGTCTCATGGAAGACTAAAAGACAGCCTTCTGTAGCTCTAGCCACTTGTAAGACTGAGTATATGGCTTTAGCTGCAACCATACAGGAGTGTATGTACTTACAACAGCTCCTGGAGTGTTTTGATGGTCACAAATATTCATGTAACATCTATGAGGACAACCAGGGAGCTATAGCTTTAGCAAAGAATCCTGTACATAGACAACGCTGCAAACATGTGGATATTAAATACCATTTTGTGAGGTCCATGTTAAATGATGGCAGGATCAACCTGGAGTACTGTCCCACCATTGAGATGTTTGCAGATGTAATGACAAAACCAGCCACCAAACTTAAGTTGTTAGATTTTGAAATGTTTGTTTATGTTTGGAGGATTATAAAAATATGTTATGGGCCTGATTGTGTTGGTATATAAATGTATTTTTTTCAAGTGTGAGCAAGTGGACGTGTTGTGTTGTGCTCTCATTTTGTTATTATTTGTATTTGCAGAGTCTTATGTTTTGTATTCTTGACACCCAATAGTATGTGAGAATTTTTGATCACGTGAGGCGAAAAATAATGAATGGTCTGCACCTGTGAGAATTAAGTGTAATGTGTCCGTGGGGAATGTGGTGATAACACAAAAAGAGAATAATGTTTATAATAATACAACAATAATGCAACAATAATAACCAGTGTAGTTGACGTTGGGAGGACAGAGTGAGCAGGACACAGTGGTGAGTTCTGAAGGGACAGCGGAGAATGAATCTGCACAGACTGTTCAAGATAACACTGTGTTGAGTGGTTGAAGGACAGAAGTTGTGGTATTTTGATACAAAGTGCTCATAAACTCATTGTGGTGAATAATTAGGACGCACTAAATGCATGAGGTAAAAGAGGAATAACTTTGGATCTGTCCGCGAACTGTTTAAAATGAACTAGTTCTGTTTTTCAGGTTTTTAAATCAGTAAAAATCAGGTACAGCGGCTTTAACTTCCTCTGAGCTTGTACACACACACACACACACACAGGAGCATTTATGAGTGCAGCCGAGGTGGGAGGGCCCAGTTTGAAGAATATCTGTTGACGTTTCATTTTGCAGTTGCATAGCTCGGCCTCATTCATAAACCTGAGTCACCTGTTTCAACGTGTGACCAAGACTCCAATACCGTAAGTACCTGCATTTTAAACACAAAATACTACTACTACTACTACTACTTACTAACCATCATGATCACATTAGTTAAGATTTTCATTGACAACTATAGAGCAATTTCTCATTTCAGGTTTAGCCTGTGTTGTGGCTTGTTCACTGGAATGTTAGCACTAGATTGGAACTATCATCTGCCCTTATCAAATCACATCATGTAATTATAGGGCAAAGTCTTTCTTTAAGTTAATCTTTAATTCCAACTTTTCTCACGTCCACCTGGTGATTTGAAATGCATTTTTAGCAAATCTGGTTGATTTTGCTTCATTTTTTTATCTTCTCACTTGTTTAGAATTGATTAAACTAAAAAAATAACCTTGCTACACCTTGCAAAAAAGTTTTAGGGTTGCAAATTTCAGGTGTTTTTTGTGCTTTGTGTAACACTGAGAATTTCTGACAGCTTCCTCATATGCTTAAAAGGTGGGTCTAACAAAATGACCTCCCGTAAAATGAGAAAATACAATGCAGTAAAAGTATAAGTATGCAAATATGGGTCAAAACAGCTAGGGAATTGCAACTGGTTTATATAAAAGTTTGGTTCAATATATTATTTTTTAACATTTGAAGTCAGTGAAGTAAGAAAATGTTGTTTAGCAATTCTTTTTTTTTTTTTTTATTGATGAAAATTTAACAAAAAAAAAAAAAGGTGACCAAATGCAAAAAAAAAAGAAAACTAGGTAGAAATACAGGTAATACAGGTAGAAATACAGGTAGGTATATTCTCTTAGTTTTTTGGTCTTAAATTGGACTCATTTTAGGCCTAACGTAGACTTGATTTGGCCCTGGTTTAGTTTTGGGTTTAGTTCTGGTTTAATCCTGTTCTAGTCCTTGTTTAGTCCTGGTTTAGTTTTGGTTTAGCTCTGGTTTAGTCCCAATTCTGACCTGGAGAAAATGTAATGAATAATTAATGAACTAATAACTAATAACTAACTTCATAACGAGATTTCACAACATTATAACATATCTTCTCATTAATATAAGTTCCTTTTTCCAGTGCAGTGAAGAGTTGCCTAATAATGTAGTTCTTATAGTGCAGTGGAGCTCGGGTGTGTCTGTTTAAGTAGAGTGACTCATGTTGGAACAGTGAGGGGTGGATGGGGCTGGAAAATCAGGATCAGGAATCAAATGGTGGAAGTCTGTGATTTTATATTTAAGAAGCATTAACGGTGCACTACGGAAGTTTTCGGGTGTGCGATGTGATACTAAACTGAATTAAGATAGTATTGTTTTGCTCCAAGAATGATCCAGAGTATAGTATTAAACTTATCTATTTGCGTGCCACCAGTTCAAGTTAAAGGTCAGATCTGTGAAAAGTCTGTCCACAGTAAGAAAGTTCTTTTTAAGCACTAATAATTCAATAAATGCATGACAGATACATACGTTGGAAAACTGTCTCCCCTCTCTCTGCATCTGCGGCTCAGTTTGGTCTTAAAATGTTCATATTACTGCATGATCCTGGTGTTTTTATTTTGCTATTTTGTCCATAAATACATAAATTCCTATTCCTAATATGGACCTGGTTCCAAATTCACTCACTGCAAGCCTCATGAGCTTCGTTTGACTGGAGCCGAATGCTATGGGAGACGTCACACTTCGTTCGTCCACTTTTATATAGTAAAGCCTGCACCTAATATAGAAAAGGTCAGCAAGGGCCTGTTTACACAAGAGCATTTGCGGGTAAAAATGACAAAATATTCTGTGGTAAGTGCCTTTTGTTTAGATGGTGACTGCGTTTTTGGACCTTAAAAACACAAAAATCTGAAATCATCCTCTAGAGTGGAAAAGTTGAATACACCCCACCATAGCGTTTCCGTCTCCACAGCCCAAGACGCAAAATTCTGGTCAGATCTGCTCAAGTTGCGTATGCGTTTACACTACATACAGAAACCTGGCATGCATACCCAATCAAATTCCACACATTTTTGCGTCACAGTATGCATGCAAATTTCCTTCCGAAAAAGCTCGTCTAAACATGGAAGAAAAAGTGAAGACGCGACGCCACTTTTACGTATTCTGTTCAGACCGTCACCATAAAAACGTATCCTATAAATATATAAAAGTTAAGAAGCCACATAAAAGCAGATTACTGTGTGAAACAGTCTGTAAAACACAAGACACATACTAGTATACAACAACATCAGCATGTGTCGACAATAATGACACTGTACTAAGACATGCACAGGCAGCACAAAAGCACCCCAAGAAATCACATGATATAATTATGATTGATTACAGACTTCATTCTTAAGTAACCACGATTTTTGCATAATTATTATACAAGTAAACACACATGCAAATGCAAACACACACACACCACATTCATACTAGGCAGTGTATGTGAAGTCAAGTGTCTTGCCCAAGGACAGCTTCCACAAGAGCCACTGCTTCTGACTTGACCCTTTTTCATTTGAGTGTGATTGTGGTGTTCATCGGTATTAAAAGGCCCAAATCACGCTATTTTCTGATTGATGTTATAACGTTGTTTCCTCATCGTTGTAGAAGTTTTCTAGTCAGGCTGGTGCCACCTAATGCCTCCTCTCAATTTCATTTCTCTCCAGCGACTAGGTCAGGAATCAGAACACACTTGACGGTTTGCAAGAACCCCAGACGTGCAAGTTTGGGTACCAACCAATCAGTGAAGAGCCATACATTCTGTGATGGCAATGATTAGTGAAGATTTAAAGCCAGAACAAAGAAAATGTTTGGTGATTTTTATCAAGAGGCATTATTGCCCTTCTTCCTACGGGATTTGGGAAAAGTTTAATATACCAGTTAGCCCTGTTAGCGGTGCATTACATACATCACGACCAAATAGCAGCGATTGGTTAAATTTAAAAAAGTACTCATCTACCATCCAGCGAACGAATCCTAATACTGCGAGGTCAGATGGTTTCCACAAAGTGAAACCGTCTGATGAATCAGGCTAGAAGATTTCAGCTTGTCTAAGAAAAGGTTGAAGTAAGATGAACTGGATGTTTTAACCCTCTCCAGGCAGGCGTTGCAGATTTGCAACAGCTAAACGCCAATTACCTACTTACTCCAAATCCATATTTTATGAGATTTTTTTACTCAGGAGCCTTTTTTCCCATCCATGCTGATAAACGTGGACAATGCAGACTGTGCAAGAATGGCTTCACGCTAACAACCTGCCAGAAGTGCAAAGTACTTTTGTTGTTTACAAAGGATAAAAATTGTTTCTTGTAGTACCACACGAAAAAGTGATGTTGTTCTGCCACTGTAAAGCTCTGTTACACTGTGCTTTATGTTTTCATTGTTATGAAAATTTGCGTTCATATCATTTTCAGTCTTCAGTGTTAATTTACCACATCGGACCAATGCTGCAAATCTGTAACATCCCAGAACGCATTGGATGTGAAGGTCTCTCTCAAAAAAAAAGTCAGGATTGTATATTAATACCCCATGTGATCATTTTCCCCAAATACCAGATTTTTTCCTGTTACTAAAATTTAAGTTGAGCCTGAGAGGATTAAGCAGGAGAAGTTTATTTACTATCAATAATAAAAAGTCAACATAGTATGATTTCAAAAGTGAACACAGTATAATCTTTGAGCCCTTATGCTTAGAAAGAAGTGGTGAGAATTTGAAGCTCAGTAAGCACCGGTTAGACAGCAATATGCCACAATTTAGATAGTGGTATGGCAGTGGTATGCCAAGGGAAGGACATGGTGTAAATATAGCTTTTGTGAGTCATATTAAACTAATATGTTCATGGAGGATAAATTACGTAAATTGTCTTACATTCTCTCTACATTCTCATCACAAGTATACCTGGAGTTGTGTTTTGCAAATTGCATATTGCACTGCATATTTAGGCTGAGTTCTTCTCTCAAATAGAAAACACTCTGTTCCACCTTGTGATGTCATGTGGTAAAACAGAAGTGCTTCACTGTGTTTTTAAACTTCACTAGGATCATTTGGATGGTTTCTGCCCTGGAATTGCCCATCTCTACTGAACTAAAGGTAAAAAGGAGCTGTTAAATTGAAAACTACCACTGCATGACTTGGTGGAACAGAGCAAGTTGACCTGTGGAGATGTAGACAGACTAACAATAAAGAGTTACTCAAACATGTGAGAATGAAACAAAACACAACTCCAGGTGTGTTTTTCAGGCGGTAACACCATTATAACATGACTTAAAGGTGTATTGTGTAACTTTTCTGGTGGAGGGTCTGTCAAATTCTGTTCTCCATGGAAATGTTATTGCTTTGTGCAGAAAGTTTCCCAATGTGGCATTAAACCTTTCTATCTATCATAATGGAGACCAAATCATACCAAGTTACAGGGTAGATCTGTGGAGAGGCGACTCCGCTCACAGTTACAATGACTGGTTTTTGTAGGTATTTTTGAGCTATAAAACTACATGTAATTGAATAAATGTAAAGTAGAGCTGTTTAGTGTCATACTGTGGAACATTCGATCTCCATAGAAACAAGCAGGTGTTGGACCCCCAACCAAAAACCTACACAATGCAGCTTTAAATCTCTTAAGTCAAGTTTGCATTATATAGGACCTTTAAACAAATGCAAAATAGCTTTAAATGAAAAGCTAAAGATATGAATCCATGATAATACCCCCTTACTTATGTTATATTTTAATGTCATATTTTCACACTTTATGTTGTTGTTTCTTCTCCTTGTGCAGATGATGTCCTCTTCACTCCCGGAGAAGCAGCTCCTGTGCCCGCTCTGCTCGCTCATCTTCACCGACCCGGTCACCACTCCGTGCGGGCACAACTTCTGCCACGCGTGCCTCCAAAGCGCCTGGGCCAAATGCGACAACATGTGCCAGTGCCCCACCTGCGAAAAGACCTTCTCACCGCGCCCGGAGATCAGCATCAACACCGCGTTCAAAGAGCTCGCCGATACGTTCAAAAGCGTGATCATTCCGCAGAAAGTTACGCTTCTTAATTCAGTGCAGCCTGGAGAGATAACTTGCGATGTTTGTTTAGCGGGATCAGTCGAAGTCAAAGCCAAAAAATCGTGTTTGGTTTGTCTGGCTTCGTATTGTTCTATTCACTTGGAGCCGCATCAGAAAGTGGGCGCTCTGCAGGTGCATAAGTTGATAGAGCCGGTGGGGAATCTGCAGGAGAGGCTGTGTAAGAAGCATGATCGGTTACTGGAGATGTTTTGTAAAGACGAGCAGAAATGCGTGTGTCGATTCTGCGTGGAGACGGAGCACAAGAACCACAAGGCCGTGAGTTTAGAAGATGAGAGCGCAGAGAGGAAGGTGAGGAAAGAAGATGACAAAGTGTATAGATGCATCCCGAATTTCTGACTTAATACATACTGGGAAAGATTTTCCGAAAAAGTGAGCATCAAACCGCCATGTTTGATTTCCCAGTGGGATGCGTCTATTGACAAAGCCAGTCTTTTCTAGTCTTTTGCACTATGTCGCTTTTGTTTCGGGTTCTGATATCGTCATATTTTAGTTCTGGCATTCGGACATCTTAATTGTGTGGTTGTTGGATGTCCTAACAGCGGAAAACAGCTCGAGAGAATGGGCTTTGGAAGTTTGTGAACTCCATAAATGTAAAAGGGAATCAGATGTGTGTGACTGCAAACCTCTGTTCAAACTGTTTCCCTTCCCAATGGAATTGAAAAATATTGAAAGGTGAAGGTGATGGGCAGTATTGATCCACAGGAAGGATGAAAAAGGAAACCTTTGACTGCCTAAATCATCCCGAGTTGCAGCAAACATTTTGTATGTGGAGTATCAACAAAGTGGGATCCCGTTTGTTAAGTGAGAGGTGCAGAAGACAAACAGACTGAGCTCAGACTTTCTTGTTCTTGTGGTTTTACAGCAACATCAGGTCTTGGTCACTTTGCAGTGGAAGGTGTTTCTTGGCGAAACGTTGGTGCCTTTTGTTTTGGCGTTGATTTTTTAAATTCGTAACCAAGGTGGAGCGAGGAGTCGGGGTTTTGCTTTGTTGGTGCTCCACATACAAAATGTTTGCTGCAAACTTGGTATGATTTAGGGAGTCAAAGGTTTCCTTTTTCATCCTTCCTGTGTATCAATACTGCCCATCACCTTCACCTTTCACTATTTCTCAATTCCGCTGGGAAGGGAAACAGTTTGTTTGCAGTCACACACATCCGATTCCCTTTTGCAGTTACAAAGTTCGCATACAAATTTCTCAAGCCATTTTCCACTGTTAGGACATCCAACAACCACGCAACTATGATATCCAAATCCCAAAACTAAAATATGATGATATCAGAAGCAGAAACAAAAGTGATATGGTTCAAAAGACTAGAAAAGACTGACTTTGTCAATAGACGCATCCCACTGGGAAAACAAACATGGCACTTTGATGCTCACTTTTTGGAAAATCCTTCCCAGTATGCATTGCGCAATGACCGGAAGTCTGACATTCATGATGCATCTATTATAACACTGTATTAAAGGTGCACTGTGTGACTTTTTGGTTGGGGGTTCATCACCTGTTGGTTTCTATGGAGATGTCATTGCTCTGCCTGGAATGTTCCACAGTATGACATTAAACAGCTCTACTTAACATTTATTCAATTACAAGTGGTTTTATAGCCCAAAAATACCAAGCAAAACAGACATTCTGACTGTGGGCGTGGTCGCCTCTCCACAGATCTGACCTATAACTTGGTCTGGTTTGGTCTCCATGAAGATTAAAAGGTTTAATACCATACTGTGAAACATTCCTGACAAAGCAATAACATCTCCATGAAGAAAAGTATTACCAGAAAAAGTTACACAATTACACAAAACTACAAATCAACTAAGTCTTACTGTCTGGGCGTAACATCTGATTTATGAAGTTAACGTAATCTGAAGGACAAAACGCTCACTAATGCACAAAATCTTTTAAAGGACACACAAAATGAGACAAGTTAAATCATATCTGAAGGAGTGGTGCAAAAAAACAAGTTACTCAAGTAAAAGTTGCACTGTGTAACATTTGTCTCCATGGAAATGTTATTGCTTTCCATATCTAACATTCTTTTACCTTTTTATTGTCTTTAATGAGATAAATAAGTGCAATCCCATACTGTGGAACATTTGCGGTAAAACATCTCCATGGAGACAAGCAGTTGGTTTACCTTTCACCAGAAAAGTTAGGCAGTGCATCTTTAAGCTGTCAGATATATAATAATATCGTCAATAATGTGGATATCTATTTGTTTTGACGCTTTAAACTCACATTTCTGGACCCAGATCTCTCATAAACCCTAATCACTCCTAAATAATATAAGAGTTCTGCATTTTCTTGCTGTTTCTTGCTCTGCTTTGGGACTCTGAACAGTTTAAGACGTTTTAAAGTTGTTGTTTTTTTTCTTCTTTTAGGCTCAAATGGTGAAGACTGAGGCTGAGTTCAAAAACATGATCGAGCAGCGCGTTAAAAAAGTGGAGGAGATTTCAAACAGCCTTCAGCAAAGAAAGGTACGTGCATAAAACATGTTTATATATTAACTAGTAAACTTTAAACCTGCAATTTTCTGGTAGGGGCGTTGCTACATTTGCTATCTTTGCTTATTGTCTCCATGGAGATGACATTGTTATACCTAGAATGTTTCACAGTTGTGGCATTAAAGTATCTGGTTTCAATTTATTAACTTCAGTGTTTTGTGAGCATTCACAGACAGTAGTAGATGTCATACTGTGGAACATTCAATAGCTCTTAACTAGACCATAATAGTATTCGTTTATTAAACCATGTGGCCTTACCATAGTCCATATAAAGATAAAAAGACTAGAAGTTATAAGAGCGAACTTGGAGCCGAGTTCCAAATTCACGTAGAGCGGGTTAATACGAACATTTCAGGTCCAAAATGACGAGGCTCACAGCAGCAGTTACAGAGAGAAGTGGTGACAAATTTTCAATGTAAGGACAACTGGAGCCAGAGTCAGTGGAGCCAGAAGCGCACCCATGCACACTTCCTATTTGGAACTTGTTGGGTTAGCTATGTCCATTTATATATACTTATTTTTATCCAGTTATGTGATTTTATTTGAGTATTGACACTTGATAGTTGTTTTAGTATCAGTTAGTATCTCATTTTCGATACTTTTGACAACCCTGTTTTGCATGTTATGTTTTAAATGATTATCAGTTTTGACACAGTTTGGGTGCTAGTTTCTTTACGCTATTTTCTGATTTATGTCATTTAAGGAGAGTGCAGATAAGGAGCTGGAACACAGTGACACCCTCTTCACGTCTCTAATAAACTCCATTAAAGAAAGACAAACTGAAGTGAAGGAGGCGATTCTGAAAGAGCAGAGATCAGCAGAGACTCGAGCAGAACAGCTGACCCAGGATCTGAATAGAGAGATCCAAGAGCTGGAGACCAGGAGACAGGAGCTGGAGGAGCTCCGGGAGTCTGACGACCATCTGCAGCTCATACAGGTTTGAACAGCACAACTTTCTACTGATGCTTTGCAGTGACATCATGCTGGGGGTTTTCTTTATGTATGCCTCTGGTGGAAAGTTCATCAGTTACCATCGTGACACAATGCACACATTAGAAGAAAAGTAGAAAAACATACAAAATGGATTGAAGCAACAAATTGTCAGGAGCCTGTGATCAATACAAGCGTTCATGGTTCTGTTAAGGAGACTGATTTTCAAAAAAAGGTGAGAGTGACTAACTAAAAAAAAAAGTTAGTTAGTGACACTTGTTTAACAGTAAAAATCTCCTGCTGAATCGGTTCTTTTTGGTCAGATTGTGGTAAAATAAAGCTCAGATTAAAGTCCAACAGAGCTTCAGACAAACCAGTGCCTACAGATAGCATCACCCCCCAGGGAATGTTGATGCAATCAGCTGCAAAGTTTCAATATGCCAATAATATTTAATACAGATGGGGGCAACTAAAATTAATATTACTGTATTACAAATTTTGGTTGTAATCTCAGTGTCATGATCCCACAAACTGAAAATCATTCAGTGACAACTTTTAACTCTCCATGGATGTCCAAAGTGTTAGTATTTGCTATTTTAGTTGACGGTAGCCCCTCCTAACAGTAGTTCATTTATTTACCTGTTGCTACGGTGATCCTCGCAGCGTAGTTATTGATTTGGAGATGATGTCATCAACATTCCCTGGCAGTGTGACGCTAATGCTGCGCTCCACTTGTTGGATTTTCCGAGTTCTGACTTGCACATTTACGCTGGAACGCCCATCCACTTCAGAATACCTCTCAACCTTGGGTGACAGTTCAGAACCGTGAGCTGGTTAAGAGTTAGAAAGCCAACATGGCTGCGCCCTGTGTATGGATAAACTTGAATATCCAACAATTAAAGGTGCATTGTGTAACTTTTCTGGTGGAGGGTTTGTCAAATGCTTTTCTTCATGAAGATGTTATTGCTTTGTCAGGAATGTTTCACAGTATGGCATTAAAACATTTCGATCTCCATGGAGACCAAACCAGACCGAGTTACAGGTCAGATCTGTGGAGAGGCGACCCCGCTCACAGTCAGAATGTCTGTTTTTCTAGGTATTTTTGAGCTATAAAACCACCTGTAATTGAATAAATGTACGATGCGTTCAATGTCATACTGTGAAACATTTTAAGCAGAGCAATGACATATCCATAGAAACAAGCAGGTGATGGCCCAACCAAAAAGTGACACAATGCACCTTTAAAATGCTGGTCGTACTTGTATTATTTTGCCTTTAGTTGCTCCCTCCTGCACACTGAGCTTCTTCAGCTATGAGTGTGCTGTTTTGATCTGTTATGCAAATGTTGCTCAAGTGTTAACTGAGGTAATATCAATAGGAGCACAAATTAAGATCCTGCTTTTTCAGTTCTGATACAGATATTATACTATAGCTGTTAGTACCTGCCAATACCATGGAGACACAATGCAAACATTAGCAAACACAGTCAAAAAACTTTTAAGAATGTTTGAAGAAAGAAAAAATACAGAATGTGTTTAAACCGCAGTGATTACGAGGTCCTGTTTAGGTGTTTGATTTTCAACAAAAAAGGTGAGAGTGACCCCAGAGATGCTCCACAGTATGACATTCAGGCCAGGGGTGTAGTGGGCGAGGTACATGGGGTTTCGGCCTCCACCAATTCTACCGACGTGAGATATAAAAAAATAACAAATATAAGATAGCTACAAGTTAAATGTCAAACCGGAGCTACTGGCAATGGTGAAAACAACCTGCATAGGCTCATGATATCTGCAGTAATGTCTTAGAGTTACCAGAGACATGAGGGGACCAGGACTGAACCAGGACTGAACCAGGGACTGAACCAGGGCTGAACCAGGACTGAACCAGGACTGAACCAGGACTGAGTGTCAGGACGCGCCTGGAGGTGCGCCCGTGTAGACTGTCGGGTGACCACAGGTGAAAGTAGCGGTGTAGAGCTCCTTGGCCCATGAGGCTAAGCACAACCGCAACGGTTCCACAGGCTCAGAGTTCTCTAACTCGCTCTGAAGTCCAAGATTAGTCCTGGTTTAGACCTGGTTTAATTCTGGTTTAGTCCTGTTTTATTCCTGGTTCAGTCCTGGTTTAGTCCTCCTGGTTCAGCCCTGGGGTAGAGTGGGGGGGTGTTCATGACATCGATGACGTTACGAATCTCGTACCCACACTTAAAAAATCCCCACTACGCCACTAATGACATTAAACAACTCTTCTTAACATTTATTCAATTACAGGTCTTTTTATATGCTCAGAAAAACAGACATCCTGACTGTTAGCGGAAGATAGAAAGGTTTAAAACCATACTGTGGAACCTTCCAGACAAAGAAATAACATCTCCACAGAGAAAAGCACTTGACAGACCCTCGACTAGAAAAGTTGCACAATGCACCTTTAAGTCTACCTTGAGCAACAGAGCTTCGGACAGTGCAGTGTTTGCAATTAGCTTCACACCCACACGTAATGTTGATGACATGAGCTGCAAAGTATCAATTTGTTCAGCGATTTCAAAATATATATTTAAGTAGACTGCTGTTTACAAGCTTTTCAAATTGCTTCAGTGGGTGCTGGGAAACTAAATCCCTGGGGCAGGAGAGACAAGGTTCAGAAGTGTATTGCTCAAGAACACCACAACAGTAGGCCTCTGTTGGAGCTGGGATCAAACCACAAACCTGCGGGATTATGGGATTGTTCTGACTCCAAAACTTTTGCATAACATCAACATTACACAAAGGATCGGGGTGTCTGGACACGTCTCCAATAAAAAGCAGAGTGCAGTGTTTGTGCAGCTCTGAGAAAATATGACATAATACAGCCCGGGGATATTACCTCATTAAACATATATCACTGACACAGAATTAAACCAGTCTGAGCAGTTCAAACTCCCCTTTCATTTCATCATCAAAGGACATGCATGACTCCCTCTGCTGCTGGAAAATATGAATTATCTGATCTTAATTTACTCCCGTCATGATAATAATGACAGAGATTGAAGAACTATAAGGAAACAACTCCATGACACTATCTCAGACTTGCCCGAACAGCCTGAAACTTTCTGTTTCTTTCTACATTACGTTTGAATCTAGAAGAGTCTGGAATCTGACCACAGAGTGTGAAACATCTCCGTCCAAACATCTCGTATAAAATTCTCATATAATTCAGAACAAAATAAATAACTTCTTTTATATGACATTTAATGCTTCGATTGTCGTTTTTCATTTTGTTTTTCAGTCATCTGCGTTACTTCTAGAATTATTACACTGTTCTGCCGTGAGAAAATCTGTAATGGCAACAAAATAAAATGAGAAGATATATATTTGTATTTCTTTGAATTACTTGAATTGCACTTACTTTGTGTAGGAACTGAGCTATACAAATAAACTTGCCTTGCCTTAGCTGCTCTCCCAAAGTTGTTTTAAAAGTTTGCAGCAAATATTCAAATCGCAACAAACAAACATCTTGACATAAACTAACATGCTGTAACTTTTTTTCTCAGCGGTTTCCGTCGGTTACTGTTCCTCCAGTCTCGACAGATTGGTCTGAGGTCCGGCTTCCCTCAGAGCAGAGCGCGGCGACACTGAGAGACGCTCTGTCTAAACTAAAGGAGACTGTGGACAAACAAATGGACCTGCTCAGGAACCAAGGTAAGACACCACAGGAAGGGGGAGGGCATCTGGGTTAAAACATTTGCGTAAAGACATATTTAAAGGTGCATTGTGTAACTTTTCTGGTGGAAGGTCCGTCAATTGCTTTTCTCTGTCTAGATGTTATTGCTTTATCTGGAATGTTTCAAAGTATGGCATTAAACATTTCTACCTTCATGGAGACCAAACCAGACCAAGTTACAGGTCAGATCTGTGTAGAGGCTCAGTCAGAATGCCTGTTTTTTTCTGTGTTCTTGAGCTATAAACCACCTGGAATTGAATAAATGTAAGGTAGTTGTTTAGTGTCATACAACATTCCAGGAAGAGCAATGACATATCTGTAGAAACGTGACGGAACCCCAACCAGAAAGTTACATAGTGCACCTTTAAAGAACTCAATCAATGTGATGTTTTAAATCTCATAATGTATAATGTATATATAATGTATTCTTTTTTTCTAACAGAACTGAGGATGGTGCAGAAATATGCAGGTATGTACTTTGACAATTACATTTTCAATAAGGGAGTTCAGTCTTATTTAAAACGACACACATAGTTGACTAAATACTGTGTTCTATCATCCAATTTGCACAAACATTCATTTTTGTAAGGCTCAAAAGTCCATCCACAACTAAAAACGTAGCCTGTTTATCCCATAATAAACATGACAGGTTTTTCTAATTCTAACTTGGTTTGATGGGATAGTACCTGTGGTAAATACTTCATCATTACCATCATAGTAATCATACTTTTACATCACTTAAGTGGCAGTGCCAGACGCAAGTTAACTTTGCTAGGTAATTATCTCTGTATATGTCTTAAAAGCAACTTAAAAGTCCAAACTTTTCTGGTTGAGGATGTGCAACCTGCTTGTCTCCATGGACATGTTATTGCTTTGCTTGGAATGTTCCATGGTATGGCATTAAACATAAACATCTATCATTTATTCATTTTGGGTGCTTCTATTGCTCAAAAATTTCTTCTGTGAATAGGGGCGACTCTCCACAGATCTGAACTGTAATGTAACATAGTGTTATAACCTGCGTGTATACCATCTATCATCTATCACGATAGATGATAGATGGTTTAATCTATTCTGTGGAACATTCTAGACAAAAGCAATAACATTTCCATGGAGACAGGCAAGTCCACTGATGTCCGCGTTAGAAAACCGTGGTAGCCAATGGCAGCTAACCCCCCCGTAAACCTCATCACAACAAAGAGCCGGCTCCTCTAATGGATAGTCGATTTAAATTTTTTTTGTACCGAAACAATTACACAATGCTGCCAAATCCTATGCATGTCTCCAATTAAGAAAATAAAACTTGAAAACAAAATAAGTACAGAGCAGTGGGTGTGCACCGGTGGCAGTGAAAACAAGAGTTGATTGGCAAAATGGCATCTTGAAAATAAGCGATTAAAGACTACTCAAACATGCACAGATCACTCCACATACAAGAGTAAATGAGAAGGGGAAATAACTATATATAAAGCTCTGAAAAGTGGAATTTGCAGAATAGGCCTAACCTTCTCCTTCTCTGTGTGTCTCCAGTGGATGTGGAGCTTGATCCACACACAGCTCACCCAAACATCGTGCTCTCCCCAGACGGGAAGCAGGCGGGGCGGGGAGAGCTACTCCACATCGTCCCTGACAACCCCCAGAGGTTTGACCCAGTCATCTGCGTCCTCGCCAAGAAGGGTTATGTGTCGGGGCGCTTCTACTTCCAGGTCAGAGGTCATGGCATGGCAGCCATCTTTACAAAGTTTGATTATTATTGAGTTGGCAGAATTGTTTTTTGCAATATGATAAGATACGATTTTTTGTTATACTTAGCACATTTCACTCAAAATGTAGACGCTTTTTTATTGTCTTGACTTATGGAGCTCAGCAATGACCCATCCCCTGGTTGAGTAAATTTGTAATTTTCCTATAAATTTTCTGGAAAAATTTTAAGTTAGAAAGCTTGCTCAGACTTAATAAAAGAAACAAGCACGCTGACTTGTAGTAAACATCATCACAACAAAGAACCATGAAGTTGTCGGCGCCTCCAATGGATAGTAGATCACAAGCAGCAGATTTTTTTCTTTTTTATTTGTACCAAAATGCTGCCAAATCCTACGTGTATTGCCAAGACAATAAAATTGGAGATCAAAGTAAGTAGAGAGCAGTGGCTGTGAAATTAATTAAAGACTGCTCAAATATGCACAAAACACACCAAAAACAACTTCAAGAGGGTAAATGAGAAGGGAAGCAACTATGGCTAAAAGCTCTGAAAAGTCATTTTTGCAGAATAAGTCAGCTATAATATTTGAAGTCTAGAGAAAATTAATAAAAATTTACTTCCAGAACAGAGCAGGTCATTGTTGATCTCCATTATCTAGCCTAACAGTTTTCCCTCTCCTTAGGTCTCGGTGGGCTCAAAGACTTACTGGGACCTGGGCGTGGTTCTGGAGTCTGTGAACCGTAAGGGCATGATCACATCGAAGCCCGAGAATGGGTTTTGGACGGTGCGTTTGCGAGGAGGAGATGAATACCGTGCCCTGGACTCCCCTTCGGTCCTTCTGAAGCTCCACACCAGACCTCAGACTGTCGGGGTGTTCACGGACTATGACCAGGGTACCGTCTCCTTCTACGACGTTGGCTCCAGAACGCTGCTCTACTGCTTCACCGGATGTGCCTTCGCCGAGAGGGTCTTTCCGTTCTTCAGTCCTGGAGTTTGTGACGATGGAAAAAACGTAGCTCCTCTAATTGTCGTACCTGTCAAACCAGAGAGGTAGAGATGGGCGAATAGTGACAAAAAATGAAATCTCAATCGCTGGTTTCAGATGACATCACAACATTCCATAGGCCAATCATATTTAATATAGATGGAGGCAGCTAAAAATAATATTGTCAAAGGTGCACTGTGTAACTTTTCTGGTTGTGTCCATGGAGATATTACTGTTTTGCCTTGATTATTCTGCAGTATGGAAATAAACTCAATGCTCGCAATAGAGACAGGTTAATGGTCATATCTATGGAGAAGTAAGCCTGCACGTGGGAAGAATTTATGTTTTTTAGGGTAACTGAACAAATGGAAGGGAAATATGTTTAATGCCCTATTATGAAACATTCCAGGCAAAGAAATAACATCTCCATGGAGACAGGGAAGTAGCAAACCCCTCAACCTCAGAAGTTACATAGTGCACCTGTTCTTGGGTCTAGTCACTAATAGAAATGATCAGGTTCAACATTTGTGAATTAACTTTTTGGATATTTCATGATAAAGTACAATGTAATCAATAGGGAAAATCTGTCTGAGAGTATGACATTATCACATTTTTAGATTTCAAATGGTGGGAAAGGGCATGCATAGCGCTATGGGAGATTCAGTATTTTTAAGAAATCTCCAAATTTATGATCCGCAAATGTTGAACCTTCTCATGATTTGTGTGGGATTGGCTCCACAAACCTGTCATATTAATCTTACATCCTTAAATCCTTTCAACCGACAATAATCAGCTCTTTGGGGTTGAATAATGGCACTATCTGAAGCTATTGTGAAATATATATATATTTATATTTACACTGACAAGAGATGATGGATAGGAGATATTAACCATAATCCAGGTCAACAAATCTGCAATCTGACAGTTAAACAGCAAATTCCACCATAGATTCTCACCTGTCCTCCAGCTCAGTATAAACTCTACAATGTTGTGATGTCAAGTGAACCCAACCTTAGAGCTGAGAGATTTTATTGTAAAATGGCTAATATCACAATTGTTGTTTTGGAGATATGCATAATTTGAATAAGAAAAGTATATTGTCTATAATTAAGACAGAAATGCCTAGTGTAATCTCCCAAACAAGTGTATACAGTGATATTCTGCACCTTTTGTGGTTAGCTTTATAGGTCCCATATTACACTACTTTATGATCTATGTTATAAGGTCATTTCCTCATCACAAATATATTTGGAGTTGTGTTTTGTTTCATTCACACATTTAAGACACAAACCCTGCATATTTAGGGCCTGTCCACACGACAGGGTTTTTTGGTCAAAACTTTGAAGTTTGTATTCGTTTTGGTCTGTCGTCCCCCATGTTTTGGGTGGGCGAAAATGGAGTTTTGAGAACGGGTTTCAGAGTGGAGAAATCTGAGAATGCCGGCGTTGTGTTGTCGTGTGGACAAGCAAACCGCAGCTTTTGGAAAACGATGACATCGCGACCCTGTCATCTCCAGAGTCCTCCGATGCAGCCCGAACTAGAACTGGCCTCCACAGACCTTTGCCGAAATGGGACAGGTGTAGCCTACGGAGCCGCTCCTGTCGCCCACCGAAGGAGACACGCTGTTAGCACTAATGCTAACAACAGAATACACACACACAGATCAATAACAAAGATTACGCACGAGTAATTAAACCGTTGGATTTGAGACCAAATTATTCTAATAATTCTCATCCAAATGTTATGGCTAATAACGAAAACGTATGTTTAAATTTTGCTAAACAAAACGACTATATTTCTGGGATATATATATATATATATATATATATATATATATATATATATATATATATATATATATATATATATATATATATATATATATATATATATATATATATATATATATATATATGGCTAAATTACCTTAAAGTTAAAAAAAAAACAGTGATGAGATATGCAATTATTAAATATCATTATCATTGTTCACAGCGCCACATACAGATGTGTCATATGTATTACATCGTTTTCACTCAGTGCTCTGTTGTCATCTGGTCGTGAATATTTCTTGATCCGACACGTGTGTGAACACAAATTTTTTTCAGCCCATAAAAGATCCAGGAGCGTTATCGTGTGGACGTAGCCTTAGCCTGAGTTCGTATCTCCAACGAAAAACTCTCTGTTCCACCTTGTGATGTCATGTGGTGATAGAGAAAGTGTTCCATTGTTTTTTTAAACTCCATACACCTTCACTGTAATCATTTTGATGATTTCAGCCCTGGAATCTCTTCTGAACTAAACGTAGAAGTAGCTGTTAACGTGAAAACTACTGCTTCATGACATCACAAGGTGGAACAGAGCATTTTGAGCTTTGGAGATGTAGACAGACAAATACTAAAAGATTACTCAAGCATGTGTGAATGAAACAAAACACAACTCCAAGTATGTTTCTGGGGAAGTAACAATATTATAACATGGCTCACAAAAGTAAAATTTTGCGTAATATAGGACCTTTAGGCTTTGTTCACGTTTTGTGCGAACTACTTGAACCTCAACCGAGACATTTACAGGCACATTTTAGCACATTCCTGGTGCATTTTCAAATTATCGTCTGAATATTGTTATTGAGTAAATTTCGCATTCATTTTTCCCCATAGACTTTTCAGAAAAAACAACTTAAAACTGACTTAAAACAACCAACGTTATGGATATTTGTTAGCACATAGCCAGTTAGCGCGTAGCCACTTAGCCCATTCGTCTTTTTTTTTTTTTTTTTTTTTTGAAAAGTGAATGGGAAAATTAATGGGAAAATTAATGGGAAATTTACCACTGGAAACCAGAGCGAATATCGAAGTGGGCGGGACTGTGGAGCTCCATAAAGTAATGAAAACAGTCTAGATATTCATGTTTGTCAGTATCGCCCATCCCTAATCTCTCTTTCTTTTACTAACACTTTTCAGACGAAATTTTTAACAATGCATCAGGAATGTGCTTAATTGTGCCTGTAATTTCTTGGTTGACGTTCAAGTATCAGATAAAAAGTGAATAGATTGTATAATTAAACAGAAAAGGTAGGGATATACCATTATTTAGGAATGAGATGGTGTAATCTCTCAATCGTCCAGGAGTGGTTTAAAGCAAGGCAAGTTTATTTGTATAGCACAAGTAATTCAAAGTGCTTTACAGAAGAACAAATACATTAAAATCACAATACAAACCAATCAGAACATAAATAATCATCATAAAATTTAAAAGGATTAAGAGACATTAAATGAAAGAGAAGAGTGCTGAATGAAAACCTTTCAGTCATATGCAGCTAAACAGAACTGTTTTGAGCCTGGAGTCAAAGTAGCGTCTGTCTCACATGTTCAGGAAGAATGTTCCAGCTTTTAGATGCATGAATCTGAAACGCTGACTCCCCGTGTTTAGTCGTGACTCTGGGCACCAGCAGGAGGCCGGTCCCTGAGGTCCTCAGAGTGAGAGATAGTTTATATGGCTCCAACATGTCAGAGATATACTTCAGTACTAGGCCTCAGAGAGACTACACAAATAGAGCTGCTTTAAAGTCTATTCTCTGAGTCACAGGAAGTCAGTGCAGAGACCTGAGGACTGGACTTGTACTTCTTGGTTCAGAAAAGGTTATAATGGTGGTCATCTAGATACTGTTTTGCAATCAAGACATTTCAGCTCCATCCAGAAGTCATTTTCAACTGATAGAACTGTCCTGAAAATGAGGACTTTATCCTGCTTTGAGTTAAGTCCAGCAGAGAGAAAAATGTGTTTGCTAGGGGAGTGAAGAAAGAGAAACAGAAGTGGACTCCGATATCGTCTACCAGCTGTTTACATGGCAACAGTAGCTCAGTTTGTGGAGTCTTTGTCTTCTGATGTGAAGGTTGATGGTTCAAATCAACATTGTTGATTGAGAGGTGCGATTCCAGCTCCCACAGATGAATGCTGTTGTTGTGTCCTTGGGCAAGACACTTAACCCACCTCGCCCCCAGGTGTGTGCGTACACTGGTGTGTGAATGTATGTGTGAATGCGTAAGTGGTTCCTTGATGTAAATTGCTTCACAAGCCTATTTTTTTTAAAAATGTGACCTTAACAAGTGTATTTAAGCTAATCAGTTACTTAACAATGAAGATGAAGGTGAGACAACCAGCACGCAATAAGGGCAGGACAGTTTCACTCTACAACTCCTCCCTTTGACATGGAATTAGTAACTCAATGTAGGTTAAATTCCAAGTGTGTCAAGCCAGTATCATCAAATATACGGCTTCTGGATGTGACACAAAACATCTCAAAAACTGTGCCTAGATGATCACTGTTGAAAGTGAACAGACTATAATTAAACACAAAAGGAAGGATCACTTTATTCCCTCGTTTGGAAGATTACACTAGACTTCTGTCCATTTTTGAGGTAATTTTTAAAAGTTTTAATTATAGACGATATACATTATTCTAATTTTGCATATCTCCAAAACAACAAGTGCAATATGTATGCATTTTTTATATAAATCTCCCAACTCTAGGCTCAGGTAGTGAAGGGATAGAGGTTTGAATCCAGCTCCACTTGGGCAAGATATTTCGCCCATCTTGCCTAGTATGAATGTAATGCGTGTGTGAGTGTGTGAGGGCAGGGCAGCTTTAGGAACAAACTATGCACTGTAAAATGCTTTGGGTATCTTAAAATGCACATTAAGGCCACACTATGTAACTTTTCCGGTGAGGGTACCCTGCTCTTGTGTTCCAGTGTTCCACAGTATGGCATTAAACGTATCTATCTCACATTCCATTACTGGTGCTAAGAAAATAACTAAACATGCATTCTTACTGTGAGCCGGCTCGCCTCTCCGCAGATGTGACCTGTAACTTGGCCTAGTGCCGTCATTGTGTGAAATTGTGGAGCATACAGGAAAAGCAATATCATCTCAAGCTGTTGGCAGACAGACCAGACCAGAAAAGTTACATAGTGAAGCTTTAAAATACATTACTGTTATTAACAAGATTTGGTAATGGTTTTCTTTTCTTTCTTTCTTTTTTTTTTTTTTTTTTTTTTGCAATATCTTCATCTTATAATGCATTCTCTATTGATACTTTGCAGTGACATCACTCTGGGGGTGTTATTGCACCTCAGTTGAGCAGAATGTTTAGCAGTTTCCATGGTGACACAATACATACATAATCAAAGATTGTCAAAATGATTTAAAAATAATCTGAATAATACAATTAAATATAGAATGTGTTTAAACAGCACATTTTCAGGAGCCTGTGATCAATAGGAGAGTTCAAGGTCTTGTTTAGGAGTTTGATTTTCAACAAAAAGATGAGCGTGACTAACTGAAAAACTTTAAAATTAAAATGTTATGTGAGAGGGACTTGTTTAAGCGCACAAATCATCTTACCTGTTCTAGTTCCAACCAAGTCAGCTCTTTTTGGTCATACTGTGTTAAAATAAAGCTCAGATTAAGTC